AAACATTTGGGATAATGGAAGAACACAGCTAACATATATGACACAGAGCCAGAGTTTATACACTGTTTAATGAGGAAAGGTTACATATTAGAGCCTAAAACAACAACTGTTTCAGATCTACAGCTGCAGGGTTGTTCAGTCCTGCTTTGTGCTCTCATATTCCATCTGTCTGTCTCCATCTGTCTTCCTGCAGCACGACTCTGGATCTGTATGCCAACGTGATGCACTGCCAGTCTCTACCGGGAGTCAGGACTCGCCACAGAAACATCGACATCATGATCATCAGGGAGAACACGGAGGGAGAGTACAGCAGCCTGGAGCACGAGGTGTGTGAGTGTGTAAAGGTTTTTATAATCGTTTAAAAACATTATACAGATCTAACCTTTGTGTTTCTCCACTCGTTCTCTGTCTCTGCAGAACGTACCGGGCGTTGTTGAATGTCTGAAGATCATCACCAAGACCAAATCTCTACGCATCGCTGACTACGCATTCAGGACTGCTCGGGCCAAAGGACGCAGACGAGTCACTGCCGTGCACAAAGCTAACATCATGTCTGTTCCTGATTGTCTTCCTTTTTATTGATCTTCTCTATAAAACAAACGATACATCTCAGTGTGTGTTTGTTGGAGCAGGAAGTTGGGTGACGGGCTCTTCCTGGAGTGCTGTAAGGAGGTCGCCAGCGGTTACCCTGAAATCACCTTCGACAGTATGATTGTAGACAACACCACCATGCAGGTAGCTCCGTCTGTACACGGATCACTTTTAAAATACAAAACCTTTCTTTAAAAGAGCACAAATGTCTAAAGATTGCACTTGTGACATGATGTTTTGTGTGTGTGTTAGCTGGTTTCCAGGCCCCAGCAGTTCGATGTGATGGTCATGCCCAACCTGTATGGCAACGTGGTGAGCAATGTGTGTGCCGGGCTGGTCGGCGGACCCGGCCTGGTGCCTGGAGCCAACTATGGAGAGGACTACGCCGTGTTTGAGACGGTGAGAGGAGGGAAGCACAGAGACCATCATTAGCATTCGTTTTATATTCACTCTCCTTTTAGCTCCGTTTTTGGCGTTCAGGATCTCCTGAGGGAAATATTTGGCTCCTCTGGCTCCTCTTAGTGCTCCTAATCTACAATCTGAGCTGAGAAAGATACTTAAGAGTCTGAGTCCCAGGACGTATCTCTCTCTGGGCTCTGATGAATTCATTGTGTGGCTTCTTTGTCCGTAATCCTGCTGACAAACAAACAAACAAACAAACAGCAAAAACATAATAATAATCCAATATTAAAGCTGCTACGTCCCCACATGAAGCCTGTCTTTCTGTGTGCAGGGCACCAGGAACACCGGGAAGAGCATCGCTAACCGTAACACAGCAAACCCCACGGCCATGCTGCTGGCCTCCTGCCTGCTGTTGGACCACCTGAAGCTCCACGCCTTCGCCAGCATGATCCGCAGGGCCATCCTCTCCACCGTCAGTGAGACTCGGGTACGCGGCGCCGGCGTTGGTGTATCACGTATCACATTTCTGATGTGTAACTTAGAGAATATTCTGCTCACATTGTTGTTTCTCTCTCTCTCCGTGCGTCATCCTCTTTGTTCTCCAGCTGCACACTGCCGACCTCGGAGGACAAGGCTCCACCTCTGAAGTGGTCCAGTCCATCATGAATGCTGTTCAGAGCACCGGGCCTCAGACTCTGAGCATCTAGAACAAACACACATAAAATATGGAAATATATGTGTGTGTGTGTGTTAGTGTGCCTCTCTTCAGTGTTTGATAGGAACACTGAAATATCTATGCAATGGTTTCCTTCTTATCGTCACGTAGATTGACTGTTATTTAAAGTTTGTTTGAGCACTTTGTTTGAAGCTTTACTTTCCCATCATACTGTTGACTGTATGAAACACTCAGGGTTCCCACGTGTCCTGGAAAACCTGGAAATCTAGAGACTAGTGTTCCAGTCATGGAAAACAGCTGGAAGTTGATTAAAATGATCAAATATCCTGAAAATAATCTGTGTTCTCCTGGAAATGTTTGTGTTTTAGCCCCTCACTCAGGTCGGCTGTGTAAAGCTGGGTGTGTATTTTGTTTGAAACGCGACTGTATGACACTTCAGAGCAGGTCCACCAGATCTTTTCAATATCAGGTCTATTTTTTCCAGAGTTGGGAGCAAAACTCTCATATGTCCATGCATTACAGACTATTAATGATCAAATCTCTTGTTGCTGTGGTTTATAAATACACAGTGATATTAATTGTACGTGCAATGAACACTTTAACCTTCTAGAAGATTAATGTTTTGTAAAATAAAATTAATTCTACTTGATGTGAACTGTAACTGAAGGGCTGTGGCCACATTAATGGAGTTAATCTGCCTGAAACTGAATATGTTTATATGAACTTCTGGAAAATGATTTGTTAGAAAGAGCGGGAACCCTGAATACCTCAGCTGTTTGAGTTCATCCTTCCCATGTTTATTAGTTTGTTGCATTTATTTATTTAGTGTAACTTATTTTAAAGCAATCTCAGCTGTTGTTCGTCCACTGAAACAAAGCTGTCGTACTACCGAACGTATTGGGCAACAGTTACCTCTAATAAAGCGAATAAAGCTAATAAAGTCTCTGCAGTTCATTATTCTGTCTGTGCTGAAGCAAACATGTATGAATGCGTGTTGCAGAGGCTCGTCTGCACCACACGGAGGCCACATTGTCTCGTGTAACCACCAGTGTTAAAGCCTTACTAGTAACAGTATTACAGTAATAATACTATTTCCCTCTGTAACTATTAGTGTAACTAATTACTAATACATTTCAGTAGTAATAATATAGTTACCCCCAATATCCAATCATATGCTAGGATTTATTTTGTAATTGTGTATCTCATGAAACAGGAAACTACTTTTGATTTTAACAAACAAAGCTGGATTTTTTTGGGGAGAAAAGACACAATTACCAATTTTATGGGATGCAGCAGAAATATATAACTAGTAGTGTAACTAATTACAGTTGGCAGGGAGTAATTAGTAAGGAGATAAGATATTACTTTTAAAAAAGAGTAATGAGTTACTGTCAGTTGTTGTTTTCGGCTCTAATAGTCGTACTATTGTTTTTATTGACAGCAGTAATGATAATAACTTTTTTTTACCCAAAGTGCTTCAGGATTAAAAGCAAAATTTCAGCAGGAAACAAAAAACTTTAAATAAAAATCAATAAATGAAATGTTTGATAACAATAAAACCAAAGAAAACCAACAGGAAGATTAAATGAGATTAGAAGCAAAACATAAAATCTAAGCTCTGACAAAGTGGGATTACTCCTCATTAAA